TTGATAAGCGCATAGGACAACGGAGCCTTTTCATCAAACATGAAAAATTAACTTCATTTCAGAGCCTTAGGCATGATATGAAATTACTCGGAGAAACACCAAACATCTGATATAAGCAGCATAAAAAAGGTCAGTCATTCACATGTAAACAACCAAAATAGTGTGATGTTTACAGCAAAGAAACATCCAAGTGAAGGTATCTATCACAATCTTTTGTTGCAGCTTAGAATACAAAGTTGCTAAAATTTTCTAAAGAAAGATTAGAAAGGTTTAAAGATATTGTTCTTGCTATTTGGATTTTTTTTTAACTTTCAAACGTTTTTGTTTTTGCAAAAACAATTAAACAAAATAGATGATTTTTTATGAAATGGTCTCCAGACCACAAGAATGGACTGAATCGAGTATTTAACACAATTCCCCTCCACTTTGCTTACACTACAGCAAAATGCCTGCAATCATAACAAAAACCTTTCAAAATCATCATTTTTCATTTCACTCAATCCATTTATTTTCATGCACTGACGAGATGTTAGCTTATAAATATTCACTGGTTACACATATGTGAACACTTCAAACATAGGGCTGGTCTACATAGAATAATAGTATATCGATAACTTTTTTTATATCGATCGATATCGATAATTATTGAAAAAATTTAAACAATTGTTGAAAATTTATTTTACATGCAGGCCTGGCCATTTTAATTTTGGTAGTTTCATTTTTTCTCTGCCTCTTTTCATTGCAACATCTTGCTGCCTCATGCTGTGTTTTGGTTTGAGAGGGGAGGGCCTGATGACATAGCGTTCCCAAGTCTGTGGTTTTGATCGGTTAGGAGTAAGTATTGAGTCTAGTATGCTGCTATCTGATAGGTTGTAAAGAAAAAGGTTATAATGAAAAAAGGAAACTTTTTTTAATCGAGGTTTTATCGACCCATTTTTTTTCTATCGCACCACGTGTTTATCGCTAGATATATTGAACTATTGAATTATCGTCCAGCCTTATTCAAACACCTAACTTGATAAAAATTCTGCATCATGGACATAACTCAGTTGATACATTTTCAAATTTTGAATGACTTCATGTCTTTCTAGCCTGGCAAGCCATCCTATATGTAAATGTATAGTCCTGACCCATTGAAATAAATCAGTCGTGGGGCAGAATCTTTGGTTGTCTTTCAAACTGTCTCCACACACAATTGGACAGCACTAGGACCAATCAGACCAACAGTGTGGTGCAGTCCACCGTACACTGTCAAAGAAGAAGTAAAGACATCATTTTCCAAAATAAAGTACTTAAGCACCTCTATCTGCTCATGTCTCAAAAAAGCCCAAAGTTGATGCCAAAGCCCTTTCAAACAAGCACCGTTCCTGAATGAATGCCATCTTTGTAGTTTTTCTCCACCGTAGCTACAAACTTTGAGTGCTGTGATTGGCAAGACACAAAAATATTCATGCGAATGGTAGAGCTGTTGAGGCTAAGTAAGTGTGGCTAGGCCGACCTGCAGTGCAAAATCTTTTTGCTACTTCTAAAGTTTGTCTAGACTTCTAGACTAATGTCTTCCTAATACAGAACAGCACACCCACCTGTGTGTCCTAGAAAGGTGTCTTCTTTTTATTTTTGTTGCACAATCAGACCAGGTTGTGCTAATAATACAAGTTCTCTCCTAAGTGGGTGCTGCTAAACTAAAAATAAGTTTATGCTTTTTTTTTGTCAGAGAATACAATAGAGGTGGGAAAAATTATTGATTCTAAGATGCATCGCGATTCAGCCATGCATGATTCCGCATCGATGCAGCAACGTGACATAATGAGATTCTCTCCCTATGTCTATGTCGGGGGTCAGCAACCCGCGGCTCTGGAGCCGCATGCGGCTCTTCCATCCATCTGATGCGGCTCTCTGTGCTTGTAAAATAATGAATGGATATTTAAATAAAATGCTTTATATTTTACTGCATTAATTTTACATCTGTATGCCAATTCTAAATGTAAAGATTGTCTGCGTAAACCTGAACAGTTCCAACCTGGTCTTACTGTGAGACCGGGTTGACGCGTCACGCTTGTGCATAATCATATCTGTGCTTTCTGAGCTGATGAGGATGTGAGATTCTGGGCTTCTCCTCAGACGGCTCCTGGATGTGTCGCCACATTGGAGACAGGAACAAGCGCTATTCAGCCAAAGTTTCATAATCAGGGAACATTTTCTAAGTGACAAGTCTCGCTTCAGTCGGAGGAATCTTCCTGCATGCGCTCTGGTTCTACGACGTGCTCCAAGCCCCTCTCCATGTCTTCAGCTCGCTGTGCGCCGTACGTATGCACTGACAGCGATCTGCGCTGAGCTCAGTGTCCAGCTCAGATGGGAATCATTTCTTGAGTGATTTAGCTACATCTGTGCGAAACGAATAAAGTGTCAGTTCGTCTGATTGCGTCGGGGTAATTATTTCTATTCTTTCTCTGTCAAAATAAATAGTCAAATTCGGGAACTATCCGGTCAACACAACACAAGCCTTGCTTTTAACTGTTCTGTTTTCTTGTGAAAATTGTTGCAAAGAAATAAACTTAAACTTGATTAACACCAGAGCCAGGCGCACTGCACCGTTATCTCCGTCACTGTACATGAGGGAAAAACAAAATGATAGGATCCTTTTCTGACCTTCCCCACCTACAAAGTTTAATTACAACAATCAAACGTGACAGAGCATGGATTTGTATTCTGAACAGTCTAAACATGTTTTAAAAAGAAACGTATGACAAAAGTGGCGCCTGCTCAGTAAAACCACCAACAGGGTGAAAAATATCAAAATATTGTAGGCAGAGACGGGCTACAACTTCTGGATCCACTTTATATAAATCGTTTTATTGATTATCGTCTTATGAAAGATAGCTTTGACTCCCAGTGTTTTGTTTACTGTGGGAAACGGGTAATAATGGCTCTTTGATGGGAACAGGTTGCCGACTCCTGGTCTATGTCTATGCAGGACAATAAAGTTTTGGGGTTTTATAATTACTTCTGGGGGCAGAGTTGCAATGACATGCGCACTGCGTTGCCCTAGTGCCAATTTGGAACAGAAAAGGCGGACAGGGATACAGGGCCAACATTACCAGTAATCAAAGATATACCCGTTACATTTAAATCGGATGTCTGGGCTAATTTCGGTTTTGGGATCCTGGATGTGAAAGAATCACTTAACACAGCATTTGTTTACTATTTTTAAGTTCAGTAATATTCTATCTTAAAGCTGCTCTACCGAAAACATTATTTCTTATATTATTTAAGTAATTATAGGCAGCACACTTAAAAAATTATTGCTCACTATAGTGAATAGATGAATTTTGTTTTTCAGGGGTTTCGAAATCAAAAAGAAATTGAAAACTATTCTACTGCTTTTATTAAGTAATGAAAATTTTTGTGTGAAGAATCGTGATGCATTTCAGACTCAAATCGAATCGTTTGGCAGATAATCGGAATCGAATCGAATCGTGAGGCAGGTAGAGATGCACACCACTAGAATACAAGGTAAAATAATGTAGTAATTAACGTCTTCTATCCTTTAGTGACAAGGCACAATAAAAGCAGCACACTGTGTTGATTGAAGTAGAGCATAATGTATTGCAAACTGAACAAATCATTCATTCAGTTAGTCTCATTTGAAATGCACATCTCCTCTTCAGAGGAGAATTGGCCAGAAAAACGGCAACAAGCCTGTTTACCAGAGGAAGTACAGGTGTATTAACGAGGGTTGCATCACAGTTGTGCATGCTGGTTGTTCTGTCAAATGACAATGAGCAATTTACCTAAGGTCCAATCCCAATTATTGCACAGAGCACTGCAGTCTTCTGTGAAGAGCACTTGGAGGAAGTGTGCAAGGCTTCGAGTGTGTGGTACACAAGTGTGCAAAGAATTGCTAAATTGAGACAGGGAGCATTGCATCAATGACCGCAACGCATGCCAGGAGGCTGGTCTCTGTGCTACTTTTTTTGAAAACCTTTATAAACAACTTTCAAATAACCAATTATTTGAAAAAAAAACTTTACATTCATTACTGCTTTGTCTAAATCTGTCAGAGCATCAATTAAACGTCCTATAAAATAAACTACTTAGTATAAAATAGACATTTTCTGAAAAGGCACTTGAGCCTTTTCTCCTGCAGCAATGGATTGTGGGTAATACCCTTCACCTAGGTCCGCAGTGATGCAGACTTGGGTGAAGTGCGGATCAAGGGTGCAAAAGGGGCGTGATCAACTTCCGCACTTGAAATTTGGGACACCCTTCGCACTCGCATCCCTGGCCAGAATCGTGCAATTGAAGGGTGCAACAAGTGTGGAAGGCATTGGGATTGGGTCTAAATGGAATGCAGCCCTCATTAATTCCCCTGTGTATACCCTGCCTGTTGGTTTAGCCCCCTATAGGTCATTTTGCTGATCACTCTCACTTGAGTTAAACTCTGTTAAATGTTAGCATCAATGTCAGCTTAAACTCTTCTTCTCTTGCTCTTAGTAATTAGTTTATTTATTACTTTTCAGCATGTCTGAATGTTAAAACACACCCCAAAAGAGACAGAGAGTTTCTCTTTTTCTTTTTAAAAGGAAGCAAACCATGTCAAATGTAACAGGAAGAGGTCGCGACCGCACTGGTCAGTGCCCAGGTCAAGGGGTCAGACACAACAGCCACAACTCTAGAGTCCCATTTCGGTTCTGTTTTATTTTGCAAAAGTATAAAAAGAATAAAAAAGGAAACCACAAATGAACCAGTTTCAGCAGAAAAATCTGCAGCATGACTAAGTTGACCAAAAACTGTTATGACTATTTTTTCTTTCCTTTTTAAACACACGCATAACCAAAACCCCTCCCACAGAGGGAGGAACAACACACACCCCTTCAAGCACTCTGAAGGCTGCATGTGACAGGGCAGTCCCAACCAGGATACATTTTTCTGCATTATTAAAAAAACTACATTTGAAAACATTCTAATTAAAGTAATAATGATAAAAATAGAAAACTTACTGCGTCAACTCCGGGGTAGAGAATGGTGAGAGAGAGGCACAGAAGCAGCAGCCTGTAGATGTAAAATCATAAATATCCAAAAATAATAAGTTTTTCGTGTCTCTGAGCTTTCAAACGTGTTGATGAAGCTCTTACCTCTGATTTCTCTGTCCTCTGCTGCGCTGCGTCTGCATGGTCTCACTCCAAACGCTCCGTAAACTCAAGTTCCGTTTCTTCACGTTACAGCATGGCTTCCCAACCTGAAGCAGACCGAAATCACACACCATGCACAAACACAATGTTTTACCTTAACATTACAAACGTTTTATCAACTTTTTGAGCCAGATGGGCAAAAACGCACAACTCACACTCTCTTATAATCACGCCCGCTGCGGTGATGATGCTCTGATTCCAAGGGCGGAAAAAAAGTTTCTCAACTGTCACCTGTTGCGCCAAAAACTGCGTTTTAATTTCCAGCAAAAGCACCAAAAGTGCACCGAGCAGACCCCTCTGCTTAGCGAGAACAGTTAAAGTGTTTGTATGAAAGGGTTTCTTCTGGGTGAGGGTGGTCGTTCTGGGGAGGGAGAGATGGGTGGGGGGTGTGGTGCAGCAGAAACAAGACCGACTTGATCAGAACCTCACATCGTCTCGGACAAAGATGCAGCCAAGCCCGGTGCTCTAAGCGTTTATTCATCGGAGGGCAGAAGGACGCGGAGACAGGTTTAAGTTCCGCGGTTTGGTTTGACGCACTCTCCAGAGCGCACCGCCACCATGCCGTTTACGCGCGGCGCGCTGTTGCTGCTGCTGGCGGCTCTCTCCTCCAACTTAGACCTGACAGGGGCTGAGGTAAGAGCATGGACTCACTCCACAGTTAGCTTCTACACACGTGCACCAGCTGTTTGATTATGAACTTTAATCAGAGCAAATATAAAATACAAAACATAACAGAATAATCAGGCGCGTGCGCAGTTTTTACTCCAATCTGAGTCCACTTGTGTATTGTTTCACCATCTCTGAGATGTTCATCATGCTTCATTTCTGCACTTTTAATAATTTATTCTGATGTTTCACGTTTATGCCGCAATCAGTGCTGTAAAACTCTGAGTTCAGCCTCCACTTCTGCTGGAGAGAAGCAGAGAAAAGGAGGAGGGGAGAGGGTGGGGCACGCGCCTACAGTAGGCTAAAGTATTTTTTTTCTTTCATGAGTCATAAGATCATACAAATATGCTTCAGTCATGACATTGTGCTTAATACTGTTTTAATTATAGTCTGGTTTAAGTGCAAACTGAAACCATATTTATCCAAATCTGTGTTATTAAGTTTGAATAAAACTTTTAATTCTCTTAAAGGTTAAAGTTAGACGCTTTTAAAGGTTCGAGGCGTTGCTGACTTAGACTTATTTAATTTATCATTTCTCAGAAGTTTGTGCTAATCTGACCTTCTAACCCAGATTACCAACCCAGAGTCCCATCAGTGATGTCATTTTCCACAAAATTATCAGCGCTGAATTCACTCCAGTTTTCCTGGCATGAACAATTGTGTAAAAATGATTAAACAAACAATCTCATGTTCATGTGAATGAAAATATTTTTTCCTTGCAAGGAAGATAAAATCTTCACATTTAAGTCCATAAAGCTAACATTTTATTGCATTGTAACAATATCATGGACGTAATTTGGGGGGGGGGGGGGGGGGGGGGCAGGGGGTACATGTCCCCCCCCACTTTTTCCAAAGTCATGTTTTGACCCCTGCACTTTTTACCATCCACAAACAATATTACACTATATTAAATTGACACTGGTTGAGCTCGAGGATCAAGCGGAAAACAGCAGTTTGTGTTGAAGCCTGTTTCCCATTAGAACATACTGTAAAGATACCCCCCCCCCCCCCCCCCCCCGTGTCCCTCCCACTTCTTAAGTGAAAATTACGTCCTTGAACAATATTATACTGCAGATTTTACATCTCAAACTGCAAGGGTGTCTGATTGTTGCCCTGTTTTTAGTTAAAGATTATGTTCCTTTAGAGCTAAAATATAAAACGTTATTGCTTCTAATTCCTTCAGCTAGTTTAACTTTGTGTTGCTTAACTTAAAAGCACAAATTGAGCATCAACAAAAAGTTGGATTAACTTTTCATAGAGTCAGTCACAGGCAGCCAGAACCAGGTGAGTCAGAAAGGACAGTTAGTGTGAGACAACTTTGGGGGTGTTCCAAGTCCAAACACTTTGTGACGAAACAGCAACAATAAAATTTGCACATTTGTTTACATTAGTTTCCCCACATGACTCGGCTATCCAGGAAAGTTCTTGCATAAATGACACAGCATACCAGATTAGTAATTCCAGCAAAAATCTGATTATTTTTTCATAATTTGGTGTTTGGATTTTGATTGGTTGCAATAGGCTGTAGTTTTGTGCTTGCTTGTTTCATTTGGTTTTATTTTGGGATTATTTTTGTAAACTTGGATTCCTGAAGTTAAAGAACACTCAGCTCTTACCTTTAAAAGGGAAAAGCTTGCTTTTTTTTGAGGGGTAATAACTGCAATAGAAGTATTATCAACATATATCTGTGTTTGTTTTAAGAACATAGAGGTAAACAAATAATGGTCAGGATGTGATTTTAACTTCTGAGTGAGTAGATGATCAACTTCACCCAGTTGTCACATGAATTATTTGTTTTACTTTAACATCTTACATTTAGAAAAAAAAAACTGAACAACTATTTTCAGAGCACAGGACAGCTTCAATATTTAAAACAATGTTTTTTTAACCAATATTGTTTCGATGCAACCAGAATAACAAGTTTTTCTCATTTAAATGAGTTCTTATGACAAGAAACATGACATAATCAACATTTTGATATTGATAAACATTAAAGGTGAGATTCACTCGTTTAATCAGTACATTTTCAGTGGTCTCTGGTAGGAATATGCCTTGCAAGCTGTACTCAGGGCAAAAAAAAGCCCAGAATTGCTTGGATTAGCACGGATAAGTCTGCTGCTGCAGAGAGTGGCTGCACACAGCAGGATATGGAATCTTGTTTCCTGATATTTGGACATCTTGCCTTGGATTGGGTAACTCTACCGCTAACTTGCAACATGAATGTTTTAGCTCCACAAATAACACAAGCCTGGAGGGGTTTTCTGTGTGGAGGTGTTGCTAATGCTAACGGCTAACTAGTAGATGTTGTCTGCTGTTTCCTGGGTGCTAGAACAACAGCCTTCCTCGTTGTGAGCCAAGATGGGTGAGTCCATGAATGCGAACTGACAGTGTGACGTAGATCTGGCAGGATTTAGAGTTTCACCGTCTATTTTCTATCAGAAACTAATGCAGGAGCTAGCTGTAGGAGACTATTTTCATGTTCAGCCTGCATGAAAAACTCAGAATGACCAATTATAATCAGAAGTAAATTAAAATTTTGTCATTAAAAATGGGTTTTTGGTGAATCACCTTATTTAGGAAAGATTAAAGGAAAACAACAGAAGTGGAACAAATGCATCTTTTTCAGTAATGTTATTTAAAAAATGTGATAACATCCATCTCACTGAGTGGAATCGGTGTGGTGAGTTTGATCAGGTGTAAAGACGTGGAGGAGCCCACGACAGATTGCTGATGTTTCAGAGTTAACTATGTTCTTTAACTCATGATGAATGGGAGCTTCAATCTGCCACTAAAACTCCATTTCACACGATAAAATCTTGACTTTTTTTTTCCCCACAAATGTCCACCAATAAAATATATACATCCATGATCTTCATGTTCGGCACAGCATCCTCTGATGCTGCATCCAGGTCTTGTAGTTTCTAATACGTGATGCAATGTATTTAAATCAGCTTAAGAGGAAGTCAGTTGTTGACTCTAATAACCCACTAAGTTCAAAAAGCAGAAACGCTAGCTCTTATTTATCGTTAATTCCATTTAACAGACAGGGAACGTCTGGACAGAGGTTGGGGTGGTGAATATTTGGCTGAACATCTTGTCACTGATCGGATGACACCAGTGAAATCGGAGTGTTTCAGCATTTTGGATTTACTGTTGGGAGCTGAATGTGGACATGGGAGGTTCACAGCAGGAGGTTCTGCTCCGCTGATCTTTTATTCAGGACAACGACGGCAGTTTTACAGACTTACATGTGATCACAGGTTTATGGTTAATTCAACAAGGCATTTAAAACTCTTGTGAAGTCAACAAGGGGCTTCAGTGAGGTCATTGTGCATTTCCACGTGTGCAGGATGTGACTCTGGTTGGGAATCGGAACTTCCTCTTTCACAATCAGGGAATGCTCTTGGCTAAAGTATTCAGGGTCAAGCACAGATGCATGTGAGCACTCATAAATGTGATAACCCCAAACCCAGAGCGGGGTCGACTTAACAAAAGATGAAGATGGAAGATTTTCTAGCTTTTTCTCATTATCAACAAGCTGATGTTCAGCTCTGCGCCGACCTTTTCCTCCACGGTTTGATTCTGATCAAATGTCCCAAATTTTTATCCACCAAATTGAGTTTATCTCCCTTGGCAGTCATTTCATCTGGTCAGAATGTACAATGGGTCATTTCTGGAGGAGGAAGTGAGATTTCATGAGTGGGATGTCACCTTGTTCAGAGATGGGAAAAGCGACCATGGCCGTGCTGCTCCGTCCGTACACCGAGCTTAGTAACGGCGTTCCGAGCTAAAATATCAAGGCAGCGGGCGGCGTGTGTTAAAACAGAGTAAATCTGTTGGTGTGAGCGTTGACAAGTGTGGTTGCAGTTTTTCACTGAACCTGATCCTTTTAGACCCCCCCCCCCCCCCCCCACACACACACACACACAGTCAAAGACAACAGCTGAATCTGTCACTGACCACCAACAGAGCAGGCCCAACCTGCCTGTTGTAAAAATGCCTACATTTGGAAGCATCCTGCTTTTATTTTAACAGGCGTCTCGGCGTAGCTAAGATAATTCTCCCCTGACCTTGTTACTCAAGTACTGTGGCAGGTATGACCCATTTTTAGCCTGTGTGTGTGTGTGTCCCACAGGCCGGTCACAGACAGGATTAAATAAGTTGGTTAAACACTGTAAAGCCCTTATTTCACTGGAAGGAAGCATTTCATTCCACTTTGTCTCAACTGCTGCTTTCCGTTTTACTCATAAAACACCTGTCCTGTCCCGTGTTCATATTTTCCACACTTAAGACCAGTGTAGTCATGCAGGGGGCTGGTTACTTTCCCAGCGGTGCAATGCTGTGGTCAAAGTGCAGGTTTTAGCCACAACGCTGTGAAATCGGTGGGTTCTAAATGTCATCCGTGGTCTGGTTCTGGATGGAGATGGTGTAATGGAGATGTCCATCTGACAAGGAGGTGGGAAGTGGAGAGTGATGGTGGAGAAAAAGAGGAAGAGGGGGAGTGGAAGTGGAAAAAATGCGTGGGAGCCAGTGATGACTCCCTGTGACTAATCATTTTAGTCTCACTCTTTGGTTTTTTTTACCTGAACTTCCATCCTCTGCTGCCAAACTGTCTAATGGATGGGGAAGAAGACAGCGATGAAAGCATCTTTAGATTTACGCATATATTATGCCTTCTTGTGTTGGAGATGTCTTGGCTGATCTTCTTGCAGCTGTTGTTGGGTTTTTGTTTTTGGACAAGAAAGCTTCTGTCTTTGTGATGGACAATCAGGACATTTAAGAAGGACGCTCTTCTGTTTGGCAGCCTATCCATCATTTGTTGCAGATTTTTGTGCAGATAACTAGGAAAAAAAACTCAATTGCTGCATTTTTGACCTGAAAATCATCATTATAACATTAAAACAAATCAAAACTCATGCTTGATTGATTTAAGGTGGACTAACTATTGATTTTTACATTAATGTCAG